GGAAAGAGAAGACACCATAAACCATGCAAAACAAGCAGCAGTTCCTTTTGCTTCTAGACCAGTAAGTTGGAAACAAAACCTTCACTTTTATTGAGCATCCTTCAACCATAAGACCTGGACGTGCCTTGCAGATTGTATGGGGAGTTGCGCAGATGGTATGGAAGAAAAGCCTTGGGAGGAATGCTTATACACAGTTCCCACTAGTAACAACATACAGACAATTCAGTGGTTGTCTGTAAGCAAATATTGGAAGCAAAGATTAATTTTTCCACTTGAAAGGACAGGGGGAGAATAGGTACAATAAACCCAGAATGATTGGTTACGCATAGCCATGAAACAGAGGCATCCAGGTTTGTCTGGAGCAAATTACTATTGCTATTTACTGACCAGAATAGGTCAGACCCTTGGTTTTACACCTCTCTTTCATTTTATAGCACTGAACACCACAGTGAGCTCCATGTTGATTCAAAGGGCACCACACCACCTGAAATGGGAGACGGGAAGATGAAGCAAAGGAGTATTTGGGAAGGGACAACATCTGCCTTTACTGGAAGTTTAGCATAATGTTCTTTAATGCCACCTTTGAGTTGCATTGAATCTTTTACCCCTGCTTAGCATGGCCACTTGAAGAGGTGCAAATGTACCCGATAAAGCCCTTACCATTCTTAGTGGGGTCGTATATGATGCAGCCAGCTGCCAGCTTTTCTGTCTGCGCACAGCATCTCCATTTCCCATTTATCCAAAAGTTGGGATGATACTTCGGCACCAAGTTGTTGTTGTTCCTGGTTTCTGAAAAGTTTGGGGGACGATGGAGATGTATTTACATTGCAAGACAATTGACAATGCACGGACGTAAGGTTGGGCACAGCTATACGGAGCCACGTAGAAATCACCCACATTTCGGTGCAAATCATTTCCCCCTCGCTCAGAGGGTCTGCCCGCTTATGGCAAAAGTATTTTGGTGGATCTCTTCCACCAGCTGTGTTAAATGCTTTACCTGCATACATAAAAGAGTATATTCTACCCTTTCTGACAACAAATAACCCTGATTAATGCTATTGAAGGTCTGCATTTGCGCTGAGGAAGAACAGCATCCTAGCAGAGCATGGGTCTTTTAAAACTCTTAGCACTGAACCACAAAGGAAGTACTTGTAAAAGAGAAAAAAGCCTGGCATATCGACTAGCAGAGTTATAAGACACCACAAACATAGCATGTGTCGCACCCAGTGGCTTACTATTATTGGCTCTGTTTTCAGAAGTGACCAGACTAGCTGTATGGATCAAAACTCGCAGTGAATGTCTCACATCGACATGCAATACCAACCCACGTGAGGGATTAAATCTCCCACGTTTGAAATTTGGGTTCTCTGGTCACCAAACTTGCTCCGACAAACCCCCCCCCCACTATATATTTCTGCTGACTTGTCACCCAGGCCCGTTCGAGTCGCCCCACGAAGGTGCAGGTACACCACGTCTAAAGGCAGAGCGATTGGAAAGGCAGTTTCTTGCGAAGTTAATAACCCACCACAGAGTAAATGCACGAACAGTGCACGTGGTAGCAAGGCCGAGCGTCTCTAGGAGAAATGAAACACTCCCCGATCTGTGCACAACTTCCCATTACAACCGCCCGTATTGTAACCCAGACACAAGCTCAAGGGAGGCCTGGTGTCATTCATGTTCCCAAACAAAAGCTCCCTTATTGCAAGCCCTGTGCTTCATTTCTGTTTGCGGTGCTCGTGCTTTCACTGCAAAATCACAACAATGCTCTGCAAATATAATCTGAGAGCTGGAGAGGGAAATGAAAGCCACCCAGAAATGTAAGCCCTGGTAAAGATGATCCTTTAGGAAGGCTGTTATCCAAACAAAGACTCTCTTAACTGAGGATGAAAAACCAAGAACTGCTTTGTATTAAAAGAATTAGCCAAGTAAAAAAAGTCTTGAGCAAACAGAGACTAAGGATGAAGGAGGCAGTGATCCCAGGGGAGTAGGCCACATTTTCCAAGGGGCACTGAAAATTTACCCACAAAATTTGCAAACACATTTGACCTTGTAGCCTCCTATTCAAGCACCCCGTTGTATGCTCAGTCTAAGGCATTTGACTCTTTTTGACTCCTGTGATTTCTTTCTCTTCTACGGCAAGTGAGAAGGGAGGTTTGGAGCAAGTGATCTCAGTGATGGAGTTACCTTCTTTCAGAGTAAAGACCCATCTCTGGCGGCTCTCTCTGTTCGGGGCAAACACGTACAGCAGGTAGTTGTCGTGAACAATCTGGAGGAGGACCAGAGAAGCAAGCCAGTGATTAGGAACAGTTCCCAGTAACTGAGAGCAGCTTTGATCCCTTAGCAAACTTAATATACCCTAAAGAATGATAGATTGATATAGAGCGCTCCACTTGTAAGCTTAGCGGGTAAATGCATAATTCACTTAACTGGATAACACAAGGCCACTTCCAACTAGTTACTTATTGCTTACCTGCGCGTGAGCTAAGTGCATAAAGCACATCATTGCATAGCATCGTTCTATCTCCACGACCAATTTCCTTTTCTAATTGTCTGCTGAAACCGATTGGAAGCCACCAATTTCCAGGCTTCAAAAGCAGCCCTGAACTGACTGGACCCTGCTAGTTTCACAGCTGAAATTGGAGGTATAAGACATCTCCAAAGCCAAGGAAGGAGCTTTAATGAAGTGCAGAAAGCTTAGGGCGGACTGGTCCTGGAGCTAGTGTTGTTACATGGAGTCGGGGCAACAGCGTTCTCTAGGGCTTTTTGCAGTCTTGAGAAAAGCCCCACCAAGATAGCTGCATAACATTTTCAATTATTTCATGGAACATGGCAGGATTATTAAGCAAATTAGGTGACAGTGACTTTGAAGCCTTTTTAACCAGTCATGATGCCTTAGCATTGCAAGAAACTTGGTGTAAGGAACCCTTTTTTCTAATGGCGCTATTCGTGCTTTAGTCTCCCTGGCAAAAAAGGACCAGGTCTTTTGACAATGCCGGCAAACAATCCAGGATGGATTGGAAAGCAATTAGGCACTTGCCTTGATACTTGTCTATTAATTAGATTTACTATTCCCAGGACAGGTTCTTAGATCATTGCAAATATTTATATGCCCCCAGCATTGGGAAGAGAAAAAGCAATGATAAATGGGAGTCTTGAGATTGGGCATTTCCAAGGAGCCCAGGGCTGTGCAATTATTAGGCAGGTAGATGCAACACTCAAAGTGCACTCTGACTACAGACAGAAGTTACACAGAAATCGGTATAAGTGACTGGAAATAGGTTCACATCTATAACACAACAGAAGTTCAGTGCACATAAACCGCTTTCAAAACAGCCAAAACCAGGTAAAGGTAAACCTGGATGGATGTAGCATCAGACTGAACTGATTTAGGTTAATTCACAGATTCATAGATTGTCAGGGGCTGGACGGGACCTTGCAGATCATCGGGTCCAGCCCCACACTGTAGGCAGGAAGACAACTGGGGTCAAGTGACCCTAGCGAGGTGACCGTCCAGTCTCCTCTTGAAAACCTCCAGGGCAGGTTAAATTGGTTTATTGAACTTCTGTTCCAGATCCACTCCAGATTCAAGTTCACTCATACTCCCCCAGCATCCCAGGATGCTTTGCATCTCCCCTGCAAGCCCCCTGGCTTCTGGCCTGGGCCACTGCAGGCATGTGGCTGCATTTCCAGAATCAAAAGTGAATGTCTGTTCACTTGCTTGTCGGTTCAATCTGCGTAGTTTAGACTAACCTGCAAAGATCGAATCGATTCAGCCTCAGGCTTTTTTCTGCCTGTACTTAGCCAGGAAGAGCTCGTAGTCCCAGTTTAAAACTGAGAGGACCCGCAGCTCCAGACCGAACTCTGCTCAACCATTTATTTTAAGCCAAGGTTTTTGCTGCCAGGAAAACAACACTGAAATCAATGGCGATGTGGCCATTTCCATTAGCAGAGAATTTGGCTTATATGACTTCTACGACTAAGAATATCTGTATGGAAACAGCATCCCTGCCTCATTACAGGGCATGTATTTCTGCAGCTCGTCTTCGCATGAAATCCTACGGCCAAATTCTGGCCTCTCTTGTGCCAGGGAAATCCTGATTGACCCCATGGAAATGAATGGGCTTACATAAGATTGGCTCCAACCTCAGCAAAGAGAATCTGGCTCTGGGATTTTAGATGGGAAATAAGCTGCTACAGCAGACGAGCTGCTGAGAAACAAAGACTTTATGCTCATAGAGACTGCACTACTAATGAACAAATGCGGGAAGAGAAACACAGCTCAGTCGTGACAGTGACACACATGGGGGGAATATTGTAACGTGCCGTCACGACTGAGAGGCCCCAAGGCGAGGTCTTTCTTCTCTCCAGGATTTCCTTCTAAATGAGACCAGGGACCCTCCTAAAATTACTGAAGTGCTTGTGTAAATGCTGTGCATGCTCTGTAGGTCTTTTTCAATGTTTCTCTCTAGACTCGAGGATTTCAGTCTGACTCCCAAGATCGTGGGCTCTTTGGCAGTTTCCCCCCCGTAGTTTTTAAAGGGAGATTTCAGTGGTCCTTAAACAGCATCTCCCCAACTGAGAGAGTGTCGTGAGACTTCACGTAGAGTCTGCTGATCCCTTTCTCCCAAAACTTTTTAGCGCTCTGCTGCAATTCTGCAGAAACTTGAATCAACCCTTTTGCAAGCGCCGTATCGACCAGCTATGCCCTTTCTTACAAGAAACAGAAACAAGGGAGGAATGTTTCCTGCTTGCTCTGAGCTGCCTGTTGATGTTGCTGATAGGTCTTGCCATCTCTCTTGACATGTGAAGTCGCTTCGCAAAGCCTGCAGCAAGCAAGCAATGAATCAGCTTGCAAAAGCCTACCTGCACGTTGCTGCCTTACAGGGAGCCACATGAAGAAGCAAAACCATCAGTGGTTCCACACCACAGCTGCAGCAGGAGGGAGCAGCCTATTTATTTTTAATAACCCCTTACAAAGCACCGTGTGACTCTGTCTCCCGGGGCAGAATTCAGACTTGCCACCCTGCCGTGTCATGATCTTGCATAAAAAGCGTGGGCAATTTCTTTGCCGGGAGAATCCATCGGGCTTCTGCTGCTTTGTCTTTCTTTTCAAGCAACATTTTGATGTGCAAGAAGCCAGATCTGGGGGTTTCTTCCTTTATTAACTGCTGTTGTATCCAAGGAAACTCGGTTCATTCTTGGCCACGCTCCATTAAAGCAAAGAGCTTGGTGTGCCGATGGTTGGCCCTAGGTTTCATCTGCGTGTGTCAGTCTCTAGCTGGCACCGAGCCTTTGTTAAGAGCTGCCCACTTCACTGCTCCTGGAAAATAACTGAGCCCAGCTGCGTCACGCCAGTCCCCTGGCAGCCTCGTTGCTGACTAATTAACCGCAGGCAGGATGACATCGTTCTGGTACAGCGCTCTCGTAACAGCGTGCTCTTACATCGGTGCCTCTCCTCCAACAGTCGCAGCCCAGGGAGCTTGCTGGGTGTGAGGGCAACTCAGCATTTCAGGGGCATCTTGTTTTCTGGGGGGCACTGATGTCACCATTGGGTTCCCTTGAGAGCTGCAGATGCTCAGACCCTAAGGTTGGGCACACCGCAGCGAACTGAAAGGGAGTAGGGAACGTGCAGTAGCTGTGCGTCTGTCCACTCCTACCCCACAGCACTTGAGAGATAAGCAGGGGCGACACCAAAGTGCCCTTTGGTCACTGCCTGGACTGTGATCCTTTGGCCCGACAAAGCATATTGGGCTCAGGACAGGAGCAACTGGATTAAATTCGACAGCCTGTGCAATCCAGGAGGTCACGTTACATGATGGTGTCCTCTGGCCATAAACTTTCTGGGGGGTAGAGACAACGATGCTGCCTCCAATGCTCCAGTTCATTTTAGTCTCAGTCTAATCCCATGTTTTCCACCCATAATTTCCCTGTTATTAGATAGCACTGTTGCTTGTTAAGGAGTGCGTGTGTTTTGACACAGTGGAAGACACTATACAAAAAAAGGGATGTTGTGACTGGTATCAGCATTACAAAGACATACCTGGAAAGGGTACTTATAGTGGCAGGGGATGATAATGTCACTTTTCACAATTTCCACACACTTGATTCTGGACAGTTCAATCGACCCCTTCAACGTCCTCTTTTTCTAAAAGACAAAGAAAAGCATTTAGTTAGTGATTTCAGTCAGACTCGTGATCATGGTCAATTAACTAAGACAAGAGCCAGTTGTGAACTTCGTGGGAGATATGTTATTGCCTTTCATCAGCCCCGTCTCCTCGAAAAGCGCGTTGTGAATTTAAAGGCTATGCGCTCGTCTAGCAACTTGCCACTGTGTTTGTCATAGACTTGTTCAAACATTTTGGTTAAACATTTCCCCTCCCCTCGACAAAACAAAATGACTTGTTCATCGAATCCAAAATATTTCCAGGAAAAAGTTTTGTTTGGTTAAAGTGTTTGGCTTTGACATTGAAAAAGTATCGACTGAGAAATGGTCCTAATTTGGGTAAGTGTTTTTGATTTGGCAGGTTAGGTTTATGGGGGTGCAGGCATAAGATCCAGGACCGGTGATGGTTTTGTCATGAGGTGTAGGTATCGTGGGGGTGGCGAAGATATGTTGGCAGGTTTTACATTTCTTGTCATGGCATGGTCTGGATTTACCCAAAAAACCTGGTCTGCCTTCGATTTGGTATTTGGGGAGGGAAGTTGCTTTTCAGACACTGAGAACTTTTACCAAAAACAAAATGTTTTTATTGAAATATTTTTTTTTTAAAAATAACAAGGAGGTGGGCAGGTTCTGGCTTCAGCTGTTTGTGTAAGAAGCAAAAAATTTTTTTTTTTAAAAAAGAACAAGGAGGTGGGCAGGTTTTGGCTTCAGCTGTTTGTGTAAGAAGCAAAAAATATATAGCAAGGGATTTTGAAATATTCCTCCCCCTGAAACCGGCTGCAGGAAGGTTTTCCTGGCCAGTTCCAGCATGCAATATCATCCAAAAACACCAGCTAGATTGCCTTCAATAAGGGAAACCAATAAGTCTTCAAGACTATACAGGAACCTCTTGAAAGCAAAAATGGCTGCATTTTAGCAGCAATCCCATCATTAAACCGCACTCCCTATCCAGGACCTAACTGCAGGCACCGTCCCTAATGCAGCCGATCAGAAACCCATCGGCGTGCGCTGGGCAGGACTGTTATCCAGCGCTCTCTTCTGAAGGGCTCGCTGCAAACGCACTCTCGCTCTTTGGAGGCCAACTCGTTTCCTGTTTTGATTCTTCTTCAGCGGGGATTAAACACTGTCGCTTTCTCCCAGCTCTGCTCTGTGCCAAGATGACTTCAAAGACGGCAATGTTGTAATAAGTAACACCCAAGGTGCAAAAGACTTTTGTCTTTCAAAAGCAGCACACGGTCCCCGTCGTCTTCTTGGCATACGGACTTGAAGGCTCTTTGTACTTCTGTCCCTTTCTAACTCTTCCTCGGGCTGTCGGCTTTCGCCCGCTGACCCGGTCTAATTACCTGGAAGCCGAGACGCAGCTAATCACAAAGGGTGACTTGGTCCCGGTGAACAAGGCCATGACGTCAAAGGATACATCCTCAAGACAATGGGATTTAAGAGACACGTAGGCCATACTCTGGTCTAACTGCCCCGGAATAAGTTCTGCTGATGTCCTGAGGCTGGAAACAGCATAGCGTTGTTCTCTGTAGGCTTTGCTTGGCCAAAGTTGGTCAAGGTTGGTCAAGCTTGGTCAAGCTTGGACAAGGTTGGTCAAGGTTGGTCAAGATTGGCAGAGCTAGTAGAGACACCACCAACTGTATCACCCAGATATGTCTATTCTAGGGGGATTTTCCCTGCCTAGCTCTCTTGGTCAGGGTTTTGATGGGGAGTGGTTTTCTGAACCCAGTCAAGCCAGCCGACAGGCCTTACATTGCAAACAGTCATACTAGCAAATCTAAGCTTTTTCTGGCAAACTTTATGATGCTTTGGGGAGCAGAGCGGGGTGCAGAGCAAGGCATTACAAAGCCAGTATCAGCGTGTCCTGATTCCAGCACTTGTTGGGTATAACTGCGGCAGCACGGCACTGCTGGGTGCCCAGAGCCTCGCTCACCAGTGGGGTAATGCCACACCTCACACGTATCCTTCAAATCACATTGATCTCCTGTCTGTGTTATTCCACGTCCCCCCATTTCCTGCCCGACCCTGCCCGCGGCTGCCTCCATCTCTCTCCGCAGCCGCCTCTTTCATCTGTGCTGCCCCAGGGGCTTTCTCCCCTTTCCAGGAGAAACTCAGTCAGTGATTTCCTGTAAAAACCTTCAATTTTGCTGACACGAAACCCTCCTTCATCTTATCCCTTTGAAGTCCCAAGCCATAACCACAAGTGACCTTTCCTTCAGCCTTTCACAATGTTCCTCCCCGCTCTTCGATTTGGGTCGATTTCTTAGTCAGAAAAGGCGACTTCTGCCTTTGCAAGGAGCTGCAGCCCACTTTTCTCTCATCCTTATCACCCACCGTGTCACTTTACTGGCATCGCTCTTCAACAAGCCAAGCCCTCGTTTTACAGCTGACCTCCCGTCAGCATCCTGCCATTGGCACGTTGGCTCCTCGCGGGGTATTTTGACCAGAGAAGGCAATTACAGCCCTGCAACAGCGTAAGCAGCTGGAAACTACCACCTGCAAACCAGGCATTATCAAGCAATGGGGCAGGAAGCTAAATGCAGCCCTGGCTGTGTGATGCCCGGCTGCACTCTAATCTCACAAATGCAGCTGTGCCGTTTTGGGGTGGGAAAAAACCCTCTTTCGAATGGCTCAGAAAACCTCAAAGACTCCTCCCCAGAAAAGGGCCAGGCAGCTAGAGATAAGCAATGCCACAGCCCTCTCTTTGCTATTCTCAGTCTGCTGACATTGTAATTAAAGGCTTCAGAAGCATCTTTTATGGTCATCTGGTTTTGGGTTGGGTTTTTTTTGTGTCTCTCTCTACTTGAACTGGTTTCTTCTAACTAGTTTGGTGTCTTTGCTGAACTCAGCCCATGATGTCTTTTGAAATGTCTAGCCAAGAGAAGCTACACCGTGGCCCTGAACGTAGGTGAAATCTATCCCTTTGCAGATGAATATACCCAGATTTATTTCTCTGCTTTTGTTCCTTGATAGCCAAATGGGAACTGTGGCAGTAAGGGATGGATGAAACCAAACCAAATCAAGCTGAGTCCGGGGTCCTAATCCATCACAATCCTAATCTACAATATTCCAGCTACCCCGCAGCCAGGGTCTCCTGCCTCTGCACAGCTCTGGCCATTGATTAATTGATTCATTCTTCCCCCCGGCAGACACGTGATGCAAGAGATGCTCAGTCACACCGGTGTCCTTAGGGTCAATGAGACTATGGGATTTCATGGGATCCAACGCTGGGTTTCCAGGGGAGAGGAGATATTTGTTGAGTTTTAATTCCCTCTTTGGCATTTCCACCAATGGGCCCCAATTTGCTGAAGCACTGGCTCAACTTTTAGCAGAAGGACATAAGGACATAAGCATTGCCATTTGCTGGGCCAGACCGTAGATCCTCTTGCCCAGTCTCCTGGTGTCACACGGGGCAGAGAGTGCATGGTGCAAGGGGGAGTGAATAGCATCTAACCAGGGTTTCTTCCCGCTGCTCCTCTCCCCCGTGCAGCCTCCACCATTTGAGGTCTAGGAATTTCTGACTCGGAGGCTGTACCCCTCACTCTTATTTGTTAGAGGTAACTTTTACCCCAAGTATAAATCTCATGAGGTTTTTTTACAACCTTGGGAAACCAGGGTCCTTCTGCCCCAGAGAAGCAGGACCTGTGATTTGGTTTGGGGTTTAATTTTCAAACCAGGAGAATCTACCCTTTTCGTAGACAGACAAGGTTCTTTGGGTAAATGTGATATCTTTTATTAGACCCACTAAAATAGTTGGAAAAATATGTCTTTGCAAGCTTTACAAGCACCCTTCAGGCTGCAGATGCTTCCTCTGCCTGAAGAAGGGTGTTTGTGCCCGAAAGCTTGCAAAGAATAATTTTTCCAACTATCTGAATGGGTCTAACAAAAGATATTGCATTTACCCGAAGAACCTTGTCTGTCTATGTCCTTAGACCAACATGGCTACAACCAGCACCTCTTTTCATGGGCACTTTTCCCTTCAGCAGGGAAGACCAAATAGCATTCAGCAATCATTATCTCGCCCATCCCCACTGCATGGCACCTTGGGGACCATCTCTCCCACTTCAACATCTTTTAGGAGCCTCTACTTCATGCTTTCATCCCAGGACCAGAGCACACTCGTTGCAGCTGGAAGAGTGTCCTCCTAAGTGTCCGGTGAGGCTGAGAAAAGCCCTACCAGACTGTTATTGAGTCTAAAGACTCATTGATCTCACTGAGCAGCACTAGAGATGGGATTCCTGGTGCTTGCAGCTGGAGAAAGGAAAGGCACAGGGCTGAACAAGAAGTCTGAGACTGGGGAGAAGAAAGCCTCTTGCATAGCTCCCCGCAGGAACGAGGCAGTGGGGAAGAGGAGGTCACTGCAAAGATTTGGGCAGTGCTAAATGGCCATATTAGCTGGAGGGAAAATGGGGACAGGCAGGGGATGGGGGGCTGCAGGGATGAATATTTCAAGCTAACACAGGACAGGGATCCAGATGGACTCATCCTAAGTAGTGAAGACCACTGAAGCTGAGGTGCTGGGGGCACTGTCGGGTGTTTCATGCAGCCTACCAGACTCCATGATGGGTGGCAGGAACACCCTTGGCCCCGAGCTGATGGTTTTGGTAAGCCGGGACTGTGGGGAGGTGGTGGGTGAACAGGAGTGGTAAGATTCGCCAAAGCACCTGAGAACCGAAAGGGGTGATGCTCAGCCACCCGCCTCTCCTGCCGTGCTGTTTTTAAGGAGGTGAGTTTAAATCTCAGAGAGTGTTATAAAGGGTCACTCGGCCCAAATGCAGCCTCTTTAATGAGCCTTTCTGATGAATTAGGGTTCTCCGCTGTGCCAGGGCCCTGTGCTGGTCCAGGCATCCGTGTCTCTTGTCCCTTCTTTCTGCAACCAGCTGCTCTGCTTGCGCACGGCAGCTGCTGCAGAAGCAAGGGGCTTTTGCACTGTGGGTTTCTAGGGGTGAGACCAAGGTAGCTTGTATTTATTTTTATTTTTT